TAGCGATCTATACAATGTTTGCCCTTTTGTAAATGACTTCTTTCACTCAGCATAATGCCCTCCAGATTCATCCATGTTGTGAGATGCTTCACAGATTCATCATTGTTCTTTATCATTGCGTAGTCCTCCATTGTGTGTATGTACCATAGTTTGTTTATCCATTCATCTGTTGATGGGCATCTAGGTCGTTGCCATCGTTTTGCTATTGTGAACAATACTGCCACAAACAGGTGTGCATATGTCTATTCGAGTGGCGACTCTTATTTCTCTAGGATATATTCCTAGGAGTGGGATTGCTGGATCGTATGGTATGTCTATTTCTAGCTTTCTAAGGAAGCACCATATCATTTTCCAAAATGGTTGTATCATTTTGCATTCCCACCAGCAGTGCATAAGAGTTCCGATCTCCCCACAGACCCTCCATTTGTTATTTCCAGTGTTTTTGATTCATGCCAGTAACCCCGGGGTGAGATGGTATCTCATGGTGGTTTTAATTTGCATTTCTCTAATGGCTAGTGATTGAGAGCATTTCCTCATGTGTCTGTTGGCCGCTTGAATGTCTTCTTTGGTGAAGTGTCTGTTCATTTCCTTTGCCCATTTTTTAATAGGATTATTTGTCTCTGTTGTAGAGGTATTGGATTTTCTTGTAGATTACAGAGATTAGACCTTTATCTGACTTGTACTGTCCAAAACTTTTTTCCCAGTCAGTAGGTTCTCTTTTTACTCTTTTGGTGAAGTCTTCTGAAGAGCATAGGTGTTTGATTTTTAGAAGATCCCAGTTATCTAGCTTATCTTCTGGGGTTTGTGTGTTGTTGGTTATGGTTTGTATCCTGTTAATGCTGTGTATTAGGGCCTGTAGCGTTGGTCCTATTTTTTCTTCTATGAACTTTATAGGTTTTGGCTTTATATTTAGGTCTTTGATCCATTTTGAAGTAGTTTTTGTATATGGTGTGAGGTATAGGTCCTGTTTCATTTTTCTGCAGATGTGTATCGAGTTTTGCCAGCACCATTTGTTAAAACGACTGTCTTTTCCCCATTTGATGGACTTTGGGCCCTTGTCGAAGATCAGGTGACCGTAGGTGGATAGATTTACATCTGGGTTCTCAATTCTGTTCCATTGGTCAATGTATCTGTCGTACCCGTACCGGGCTGTTTTGACTACCATAGCTGTATAGTAGGTTCTGAGGTCCGGTAGTGTGAGTCCTCCAACTTTATTCTTCTTCAGTAGTGCTTTACTTATTTGGGGCTTCTTCCCTTTCCATATAAAGTTAATGATTAGTTTTTCCATGTTGCACAAAAATTTTTAATTTTAATGAAGTTCAATTTATCTATTTTTTCTTTTGTTCCCTGTGCTTTTGGTATCTATTGTCAGAAACAAAGTCATGAAGCTTTCCCTCTATATTTTTCTTCCACAAGTTTTATGGTTTTAGTTCATTGATCCATTTTGAGTTAATTTTTGTACATGGTGTGAGGTATTGTTTCAATTTCATTCGTTTGCATGTGGAGATCTAGTTGTCCCAGCACCACACGTTGAAGACTATTGTTTCCCCATCGAATGGAATGGCATCCTTGCTGAAAGTCAACTGAACACAGATGTATGGCTTTATTTATGGATTCAATTCTATTCCATTGGTTAATATGTCTATCATTATAGAAGTACCACACCTGATTACTATAGCTTTATAGTAAATTTTGAAATCAGGAAGTGTGTCTTCCTACTTTGTTCTTTTTCAAGATCGTTTTGGCTCTTCTGGGCCCGATAAAGTATTTTTCATGATTCTATTTTATCTCCTCTGTTGGTTTACTAGCTACAACTTTGTGTTTTGTTAATGGTTGCTTAAGGGTTGATAGTATCCACCTTTTACTTATCACAGTCTACCTTCAAGTGGTATCACTTCACATATAGTATAATAACTTTACACTAGTATACTTATTTCTCCCCTCCTGGTCTTTATGCCATTGTCATCCATTTTACTTTTACATGTTATAAATCCCACACTCCTTTACTATTTTTGTTTAAGCAATTATCTTTTAAAGAGGTTTAAAAAATAATTCTTATATATTTACTCATGTTGTTACCATTCCTTTGTGCAAATCCAGGTTTCCATTTGCTATTTCCTTCTACCTGATGGATGTCCTTTTTCTTGTAGTGGGTCTGCTGATGGTAAAGTCTTTCAGATTTTATATGTTTAAAAATGTCTTTGTTATGTCTATTATCAATTCTCTTTTCAGTGGTGTCTAGTCTGTTGTTAAACCAATCCACTGCACTTTTAATTTCAATTTTGATATTTTTCATTTGGTACTTTCATTTTCATTTGGTGTATTTCCCAATCTGCTTGGTCACTTTTATATTCATGTTCTTTAATTCTCCTATTTCTTTAACTATAAAAATACTTCATATTGTGTTTGGTAATTCTCATATCTTAAGTCTTTGTAGGCCTGCTTCTGCTTTGTTTTTGCTGGTTCTCGCTCATGATGCCTATTTTGTTTGTGATTTTTGACTGTGTAATCATTCCTTGAAACTATCTCTGAGTTCCTTCAAAAAGAGTCTATTTTGCTTTTTCCAGTCACCTAGAAGGTACTAAAAACCTGGTATCACTTTAAACTAAATTTCAAGCTGACACTTTTAAGACTACACAGCTTATGGGCTGCCCTCGGGACAATCTTCCTTGTTGTTCCTGGGGAGGAAGGTGGAATGGAGAAGGAGGTTTACTCATAGTTCATTTTCACACTAAATCTCTCCGTTTTGGGATCCCAACTTTATGAAGTCTCCTACAGTCTTCCTACTTTAAGCAGGCCTTAAGCTCTGTCTACTGTTTATCGTCCCTTCCCCATCCAAGGCTTTTTTGAAAAGCAAAGTTCAACTTGACATTTGGCAATTGTCCTAAGGGTAAAAAGTGGCATCAGTGCCCTACATGCACCTCTGGGCTTCTACTTTCACATTTTCGTTTTATTTTTGCCTTTGAGAATTCTTATTTTACAGCTCATTCATACATTTTAAAAAATCGTTCTTGATATATACTGCAGAAATTTTAGTTTTCAGTTGGTCCTTATATCTAATCAGACATACTGTTGGAAATAAAATTCTTTCAACTTGCTCTTCAACAATTTACAGTATCAACATATCCCTCCCTGACCCAGAGATAGTAAAAACACACTTACGAACCAGCTTGGCCTGAGATCAACTCTCAGATCCACTAGCAGTCTGACCTTGGGTAGCTTGCTTCAACTCTGTGCCACAGAAATAAATGACTTAATATATGAACACAACTTAAAACAAGGCCTAGCCTGGGTATGTATAAGGTTTTCTTATTATCTGAAAATGTTGAAACATTTTCATCCTGCGTAACACTACCTACCTTACCTAATTGTCCAATGATACCTGGTCCTGTGGCCATCCAGGCCCCTTCCCAACCCCAATGATGTAGTAAACCACCCTCTGGGTTCATACTGAGAGGCACTGGATGACAAGCCCAGGTATAGTCACAAGACAGGCCCTATGTCCAGAGCAGAAGGGTAGCTGATGCTGATATAAGAGATTATATTAGAAATGATCATCATCATATAAGCCTGAGTAAACACACAGCCCTATTATCATTAAGAAATTTGAGAACAATCATTAAAAAAAGAACATTATTTTAAATTTATTTATTTATTGTTTTTATGTTGGACAGTCATCATTTGCCCCAACAGCCATCTGAAGCCAATAGTCCTGATTATTAAAAATCACAAAGTTGTACAAATGTTCTCCTCCTTTTCGAAAACCATGTTCATTTTCTCTCCAAGAAACAGGGCTGTCTGCAAATCCTTGAACAGACAAGGAAACCCAAGGAGCTAACTTTGGTTCATTGAAGTAGCGACTGAAAAAGAAGATAATTTTGAACAGAGCATTAGAAATGCTCACATTCATTTTTTATTTATCCAGGATAAGTGGTATTTCTGAGGGTTTAAAGAAGCTTAAGCCTAAGCTTTAATTTATTAAACTAAGGAGATAAGAATTAAATTCCTGATGTCCTATTTTAAATTTAATAAAGGTCAACAAATTTGCCCCAACGAAACTAACTTAAGCTGTTCCTACCTTTATTCTGGAAGATCATTAAAAACAAACAAACAAACAAAACAAAAAAACAAAACAAACCCCGCAAAGTAGACAAGAATGGTTTCACTCCTTTAAATAGTGATGCTTTCAGAGTCTCTGTTAACTGAAACACTGCCAAATAATTTATTGTCTCTTAAGAAATTGACTTTCTTATTGAAGAAAATCAAAGAGGTAATAAAATGTAAAAAAGGATGTTGGGTTTAAAAAGGGAAACCTTTTGTTCAAACAAAAACCTGCATATGAATGTTCACAGCAGCACTACTCACAACAGTCAGTAGGTGGAAACAATCCAAATGTCCATCAATTGATGAATGGATAAACAAAATGTGCTTTATCCATGCAATGGAATATTATTTGACCATAAAAAAGAACGAAGTACTGATATATGCTGCAACATGGATGAACCTTGAAAACATCATGACAAGTGAAAGAGGCCAGACACAAAAGGCCACATATTGTATGATTCTATTTACACGAAACGTCCAGAATAACCAATCCACTGATGGAAAGCAGGTTAGTGGCTGCCAGGGCATAGAGGGAGGAGGTAAGGAGAGTGACTGCTATTGGGCATGGGGTTTCGTTTTGGAGTGATGAAAAAGTTCTGGAACTAGACAGTGATTATGGTTGTACAACACTGTGAATGTACTAAATGCTACTGAATTGTACACTTTAAAATGGTTAAGTTTTATTTTATGTGAATGTTACTGCAATTAAAAAAAAGGAAAACTCTCAAACCTTAAGTCTTAGACATAGCTAATAAATGTGAAAAAGGAGATTGGGTTTAAAAAGGAAACTCCTCAAAATTTAAATCTTAGATATTTTAAAAATGAAGATTGAGAGGCACAGATACCAAATAGGATTATGCTCAATTTATAGTCTCTTCAATAAGGGATTTAAGCTTCCTAATGTTAGGCACAAATGTACACATTTTATTTATATAGCACCTCCCAAAAAGAAAAAGTAAATACTACTTCATACAGCTCTTGCTACATTACTAATGCCCAATAATCCGCAGAATGTTAAGACTAGAATATATCTGAGATACGATTTGGATTCAGAGGTGCTGAAACTCTTTTTCCACCATTTCTTTTTGAAGTGAAATATCTTGCAGAACTCCAGTAGTTAAAACATAATTTATCCACAGAGTATTGCTGTTTTCTTAGGTGCTATTAGAACTTCTATTGCCCCAAAATGGGATGCGAAGCAGAACAAGAAAAACGAGCAGCTTGTTTTTAAGAAGCATATTTTAAGTTCTGCTCTTTTTCTTTTCATAATGACAAGGACTTGGCAAGAGAATTTTTCTATCAGCAAGGGTAATTATGCCACTTAAGATTATAATGTTACTACACTTTGAGCCCAAGCAAGTAAAAACACGAAAACATTTGTGAGGGGACCCTGCAACCTGGAGCACTAGCACTGTCACTAAAATGTCACGTTGGCATAGACAAGATAGAAAAGGCAAAAGAGTCTCACCGCAGCTGTTCCAGTAAGAGACTGATCTTCTCTGGAAGTAGGAAGCCAGTGACTGTACATAAATAAGCTTTTGACACCACTGTGCTTGGCTGAGGGCAGCAATAGGTTGATATGAAATTATTAGGCTCATTATTTCTGTCACCAAAAAAAAGAAAACACATTTATATCTACCACATAATCACATTCAACCCAAAGTTAAGAAGATGAAAGCCAGACCCACAGAAGCTCCCGGCGAGATCAGATACGCACAGGTTGACGTGACTGAAGACGGCTCCCAGCCAGTCGAAGAGCTCCTGGGCACTGCAGGCCGCCTCAGGCACCCCCTGGAGCGCGTGGCTCTGCAGCACTGGGCACGGCAGGTCCATCAGTGTGCTCAGGGCTATTTCTGGCTGGTGCTCCTGAATTTGGTAACTGGAAAAGTATGACATCATCGTTGATTCTTCTGCACCTTAAAACACACCATTTATGGTCATTTAAATATTTTACATAAATTCAGTAAATCCCTGAAACGACCCTACTCCCATCTGAGATTTATGGGAAGCAGGCAGGATTGAGTAACATGGAGGGAAGTTGTGCAAAGTTGTATTCGAAATAAAATCATTTAAATTGCTTTTAGCAACTTGTGCCAAAGTTCTGCAAACATTCATCTTCTTTCAGAATTTTCCTGGAAAAGCTAACACTTTTGGATCCAACCCATACTAGTTTCATCATTTGCTCTAGTAAAAAAAAATTCAACTTAAAAAATATAACTAAAACCATTCCTTCTATATAAATGATATTGTTGACTTCTACAGAAAAAACGTATTTGCCTAAGCTTTATTAAGGAAAGGCAAGAGGAACTGAACGATGATATAATCTCATTCAAGACTGTCTTTTAAAATCACAGTAATGTTCAAGTGTCTTTCTTTTAAGGATGTCTGCATACCCAACAGCCTTGGAAAATAAAAATAATGGCTGCCTCTAGAGCAAACAGCAGAATTATTTACTGCCCAGTATAATAAAATAATGTCTCGTCCTCTCTCTCTGGCACAAAGGTCAGACAGGCTTACTGCTCATTATAAAAAGTCTGGGTTCCTTAAGCTCCAGGTTCCTCTACCATAATGCAGCCTACCACTTGAGCAGTTGTCACCTGGCCCTCTTCATATCGTCCTGGGGGAAACAGGGCTTAGGTAAATGATGCAAGAACTCTAGCTACTGCTATTGCTGTGAGTAATAAGGTACTTTTTCTCTGATAAGGAGTTTCTTGTCTTCTGCTATAATCCATAAAACTGTGGCAGGCTAACATTTAGATTACATATATGATAAAATCTCAGATCTCTCACAGTTCTTGACAAAACTTTAAAATAATTAGGAGTCTGAGGAGCAGAAAGCTATCCAGAACCCTGCACATGGACGGTCCTCATAGAAGACCCCATGAGATGCTAGTTCTTAGTCAATACACAGAGATAAGACACTCTGCTCACTATTACCTCAACCAGATGTAGGAGAGAGCCTGGTGTTACAGATCTAGGACTTGTGGAAGCAACTGGAGCACTCAGTGACCAGAAACTTCCCATGAGGGGCAGACAGATGGGCATATTTCCAAAAAGGACCTATGTGCTTCCCCACTGTCTAAAAGAGAGTACTACGCTATCATAATTCTTGATGATTTGATTCATCATAATCTTGTGATGGGCCAAAGATACATTTGTAAAAGGAGTGAGGTGCAGGGCAGTTAGCTGTCAGAAGATTAACTTGCTTGGTGAACATCAAACTTTGAAATAAATTTAGGGTTCTATTTAATTAAGAGTTACAACAAATTTAATCTGACATTTAACGGTATGCTTGAGTTATTACTCTGCAATAATGAATAAGCAGTTTGTGTATATAACTATAATAGGTGTTATTTTAAAGTATTATAGCCAAGGCTGTTTGAGGTAAGCTGTAAGAAGGAAGGGGAGAAAGAGAAAAGTTAGCTGCTCTGAGGCCACTCAAAAGATGCCTGATTTACATATAACCCAAGGAGACTCAGGCAGCTGGCTTGCATGTCTAGATTACCCTGAACTACGGCTCTTAGGCTGCCAGAGGAGGCCAAAGCCGCTCCCTTAAAAATGTTTATAACAGATACAAATACAATATCCCTTAACTATAGGAATGAATCACCATTCCATCTTCCATTACCGGTTGTTGTGGAGCACAGTTTCAACTCATGATGACCCCGTGTGTGTCAAAGTAGAACTGTGCTCCATAGGGTTTTCAGTGGTTGATGTTTTGGCAGTAGATTGCCAGGCCTTTCTTCTAAAGTGCTTCTGGGCAGACTCAAACCACTAACTTTTCAGTTATCAGCCTAGTGTTTAACTGTTTGCGCCACTCAGAGACTCCAATCCTCCATTACTCCCCCTTAATTAACAATCGGATTTCAAAATCATTTTATCATTATACCATTTATTCTTCATACCTGTAGGATGCCAAGCCAAAAGAAAATCAAATTTCAATGGCTTCTTTTCTTTGAAGGACCAAGATGTTCTTTTACAGTTCTTGGAATCCGGGTTAAAGGACAAATCCATCAAATCAATGGAAATAACTTAAGAAACAGAAAGAGGAACAACTATTTCATTCATACATACACAGCTTCCACTGTAAAAACAGTATATTAAAAAATCCAAATTTTAAAATACCTTATGGATACTAAAAATTATTTTGTTCCTCTTGCACTCCCTTTGGCTTACCAAATCAAGCTCTCACTTTAACGAGCATTTCTAACATTGAGAGCTAATGACAACAGACGTTTTTAATGCACATTTTTCTGAGGTCAAATACTAAGGGCAGAAATCCTCAGGAGGCCAACTCAAATCTACCTATGGATGCGGCAGCTTTAATTACTGATGTTTAAGCCAGATGTTTTCACCAGAATCAAATCTCTTCACTTACGGGAATTTTTCAGGGAGAAAATGTATCATCCACCCATCCAATTTTTACTTGTAATCATAAAGAGTTAAGGAAATTAAAAAAAAAATGTGTATTAAGAACAAGCTGTAGACTCCTATTTTGGGTTTATTACTTCAAATTTTTGACCCAAAACATATATATGTAGTGGACCATGTCCAATCCTGTCAACTTTATAAGATGTAGCCAACAATGAAGAAAAATAAATACAACAGCAATATCTTACCTTCTCTGAAGCCCCTTGGGTCATATAATAGCCCCTAGAGTCAGAAGTTTTAAAGACAAGAAAAAGCCAAGCTTTTTCTAAACAGAGAGTACAGGCAATTCAAACGTTTAAATTTAAACTGCTATAGGAAGATAACCGACTTGTTAAAATCTGGGGGAGTGAGCCTAATACTTACTAAATTTCATGATTTTTCTGCCAGAATACTGAGATGGACGACCTTGAAGTCCAGTTTCTTCATAAGTGTCTTTATCCAGTGATAAAATTAATTTCCCTATAAATTAAATAATTCCCATAAAAAAGATGTTAAAAATATAAAATATTCTCTGACTAAAGAAAAGCAAGGCAAACTGAACAGTTAGATATTAGTGTAATAAATTACATACAAGGATTTTACTACGGTGTTATTTACAAAAGTGAAATTAGAAAGAAGGAATTGTTAAACAAATTATGGCACACCCATTCTTTGAAGTACCTTCAAGCCATTAAAATTAGTAAGTTAGAACTATATGCACTGATATGGAAAGATGTCTATGATACATAGCTTGGGAAAAAAGCAAACTGCAAAACAATGTAATAAGATATAATTTATGTCCAAAAAACACAAACAATCCTTCATGTGTGTTTATAAACACATAAAAAATATCTGGAAGAACAAACACCAATCTGTTAACAGTATTTCTAAAAAGGGGAGTAGGTTTAAAGGAGAGGAGATGGAAGGGGAGACTTTCACTTTATATATATTTGAATTATTAGATTTTTTTTTTTACAATATATATTTCTTTTATAATTAGAAAAAGAAACAAAGTGAGTGTTGTTACCATTTGGTAGTAGGGCAACAGTATTATCTTCATCAATATTTGTATTGTATGTTAGTGCATAGCACGCACCTGTAAGAGAAAGGCCAGAGGACAAATTACAACCCGCAATTGTAATAAAGAATAAATCATGCCTACAAAAAGTTTGTGGATTATTTTCACATGAATATAAGTCTTCCAGGTGAGTAGTAGTCACTATCACTGCTCCGGCTCACCATTAAATCTAAAAATAGCCAAAGGTAAGCCAGAGGACAAGGAAGGCCAAGTGCCAGCTCATTCACCCCCCACCATATGCCTGTTTGTACAAATTTCCTATCATCAAGTAGAAAATGGATGCAGAATGGAACATGTGCATTTGGGGATGCTGGTAGAGAGGCACAAAGTAGAACACTAGAGGCAGAGTTCTAGGTTAAGACTCAAAATCCACCAGAACTTGTGTGAAGTTAAGAAAGCTACTTCAGAGCCAGTTCTGGGGAGATGGTGGCATAAACAGATCATCATCTGACCCTTGCCCACAAATACAACAAGGAAACTGTACTCGGTCTTGAAGGACTCTGAACTGGGGAGCAGAGGACAGCAGCAAGGAACTTCAGACAGGCAAGAATCAGCAAATGAACGGGTTGTATACGGTAGGAAAATTGCTTCTCCCACCAAGCCACTGGCTGCTGTGAACTGGGATAGCAACCCCAGCAAAACAGCCTGTTTCCCTAACCACCTCATCCCTGGCCTGCACAAAGGGACAGGACCCCAAGTTTCTGCTGTAAAATCAACAAGGCAGATCTCCTTGGGGAGTTTGTTTGGCGCAGGCCAACACTTCCCCCACCTGGTAACTGTTGGCTGCCAGGCTGCTACAATTGCAACAGAAGGCCCCCTGCAGTGGAGTCTGCTCCCATAGCCAGCACTCTGCCAGCCTGCATATTCCATGGCTCAGGCCTCTGAAATCAACAGGGCAGTTCTTCGTGGTGGTCAGTTTGGGTCTGTCTGGCTCCTCCTCCAGTCGATGTTAAGGACTGCTAAATGAGGCTGCTGTGTACTAGGAAGAATGCATCTTGGGTGGAACCTACACCCACACCCAACATACCACTGGTGGGTATAACAAGGCAGATATCTCTGGAGTCCCTTCACAGTGTGCCAGCCCCTTTTCCTCCTGGTAACTGTTGGTTGCTGGACTGATATAAACTCCTACAGATTGTCCTCTGCAGTAGAGCCAGGAGACAGGTTACCTAATTGGAGACTTCTTCCTCAAAAACCACAGGGCTGCTGGGCTCTGAAATCAACCAGACAGATCCCTTAGAGATCTTTCTGGGGAATATCAGCCCCTCTTCCTCCTGATAGGGAGGAAAGTCTGCCTGTGTTTCCCCTGAATGCCAGCTCAGATATAAATGGCCACCACTGAGCAGGGAAGGAAGCCTTGGGCAAAACCAGAGGGCAACACTGAGCCTCACAGGGGACTCACTGACTGTGAGCTTTCTGACTGAAAATGTGGTTGCAGAAACAGAGCAGAGGAGGGAGTACTAACCAGAGAGAGAAGATTGTGTACCCTTGTGGACAGATTGATTAGTGTGTGATTTCTTGCCTGAGTGGCAGCATCCTCTGGTGGACAGCTTGACTACAGCATGTTCTCTGGAGTGTTGAAAGTTGAAAACTGAGATTCAGAACTTTCAAATCTTAATTAAATCAGGGAGGGAAAAAGAGCTATTACAAAGAGGGAGAGGAAGTGGTAAGCAAAGGCCAAAGGCTCTGCCTGCCTAAAATTTTTTTGCAGAAGTAGTGTGGGCAAAAACACCAAATACTGGGGAGAGCTGAGAAAGTTGACACCCTGGAAAATTTTAATGCCCCAATTAAAAAAAAAAACACAAGATGCACAAACGTAAGAGAAACAATGGCCCATCAAAATGAACATGATGAAGGGAATGAAATCACATCTATGGAAGCCTGAATAATCCAAAGAATGAAAGAATATACTAAAACAATGTTAAACATAATCAAAGAACTAAGGGAAAACACAGACAAAGGTCTTAAAAAAAGAAGGAAAACAATGCATGAACAAAATGAGGATTTAAAAAAAGAGATAAACCAAACAGAAATACTGCAACTGAAAGAGACAATAACTGAAATGAGAAACACAATGGAAATGGATGTATTTAACAACAGATTTCTTCTGCCTGCAGAAGAAAAGAATCAGCAAATTAAAGGATAAAATAGTGGAAATTACAGAGGCTTAAAAGCAACAAGAACAGAGAGTCAAAACTGCTGAGCACAGCTGAACGGAATTAAGGGAAAACATCAACAGACCTAATACACATATCATGGGAATTCCAGAAGGATATGAGAGAGACTGAAAGGGACAGAGAGCTATTTGAAAAAATAATGATAGAAATTTTCCCAAATCCAACGAAGGATATGAATCCACAAATCCAAGAAGCTCAAAGAACTCCAAGCAGGATAAACCCAAACACATCATAAGCAAGCTCTCAAAGAGTAAAGAAAAAGAGAGAATCCTGAAAGCACCAAGAGAGAAACAGTCACAAATAAACCCATTGCCATCGAGTCAGTTCTGATTCCTAGTAACCCTATAGGACAGAGCAGAACCGCCCCTTAGGGTTTCCAAGGAGCACCTGGTGGATTTGAACTGCAGACCTTTTGGTTAGTGGCCATAGCTCTTAATCACTACACCACCAGGGTTTCCGTCACATATAAAGGATCCCCCAAAAGATTAAAAGCCAATTTCTCCTCAGAAACACTGAAGGCCAGAAGGCAATGGAATGATACGTTTATAGGCTGAAAGAAAAAAAACTGCCAACCAAGAATATTATACTTAGCAAAACTGCCCTTCAAGAAAGAGGGTGAAATTAAAACATCCCCAAGCAAACAGAAACAGAGAGTTCATACCCACCAGACCAATCCTACAAAAACACTAATGTGAGTCCTGCAGATGGTAGAGAAAAGACACTAGAAAGTAATTCAAAGCCATACACAAAAAGAAAGATCTCTAGTAAAGGTAATTGCATGAATAAGTATAAGGACTAGTAATAAGGTATTCACGCTTGATAATTCTAATTCTTTTGTCTCTCAGGCTTTTTAATGACAAATGGATAAAAGCAAGGATAAAATTATGTTATAGAGTACCTGAAATATAAAGATATAATTAGTGGTAACAACAACAAAATGGGGGTAGATCTCGTAGATTACTGAAGTAAAGTTGCTATCAACTTACCCTAGGATGTTATAAATGTAAGATATGAAATGTAACATTCATGATAAGCACTAAGAAATTATCTAAAAAAATACACAAAAGGAGAAGAGAACCAAAACAGCTCACTACAATAAACCAACCAAACATAAAAGCAGTACTAAAGCAAAAAGACAAAGAAGGCATAAGACACACAAAAAACAAACAACAAAATGGCAGAAGTAAGTAATTTCTTATTGGTAATTACAGTGAATGCAAATGAACTAAATGCTCCAATCAAAAGGCAAACAGTGGCAGAATGGATTAAAAAAAAAGATCCACTATACGTTGTTTACAAGAGACAGACCTTAGACCCAAGGACACAAATAAGTTGAAAGTGAAAGGATGGGAAAAAAATTCTATGCAAATAATAATCAAAGGAGAGCTGGGGTGGCAATCTTAATATCATACCAAGTAGACTTTAAGACAAAATCTGTTAGAAGATTTTAAAGATTAGAAGAGACCTTACATAGTGATAAAGGGTCAATTAATCAAAAAGTTTTAACAATCAAATATATATGTACTTGTCTTAGTTATCGAGTGCTGCTATAACAGAAACACCACAAGTGGGTGGCTTTAACAAACAGAAATTTATTTTCTCACAGTTTAGGAGGCTTGTTGTTGTTGTTAGGTGCCATCAAGTCAGTTTCGACTCAAAGCAACCCTATGTACAACAGAACAAAACACTACCCGGTTCTTCCAACCTGAGGGGCTCATCTTCTGGCACTACATCAGACAATGTTCCGCTGCTATTCATAAGGGTCTTCACTGCCTAATTCTTTTCAGAAGTAGACTGCCAGGCCCTTCTTCCTAGTCTGTCTTAGTCTGGAAGCTCAGCTGAAACCTGTCCACCATGGGTGATCTTGCTGCTATCTGCATACCGGTGGCATAGCTTCCAGCATCATAGCAACATGCAAGCCCCCAAAGTATGACAAACGGACAGACACGTAGGGGTTTAGGAGGCTAGAAGTCCAAATTCAGGGCACTGGATCTAGGGGAAGGCATTCTCTATTGGCTCTGGGGGAAGGTCCTGTCCTCTTCTGAGCTTCTGCTCCTGGGCAATCTTCATGTGGCTTGGCATCTCCCTTCCCCATCTCTGCTCTGCTCGCTTGTTTAATCTCTTTTATATCTCAAGATACACTGACTCAAGATATACTCTATGCTAACCCTGCCTCATTAACATAACACACAAAACACATTCCCAAACAAAATTATAACCACAGGCATAGAGGTTAGGATTTAAAACACATATTTCTGGGGACACAAAACAGTACCCAACATCGGAGCACCTAAATATATAAAGCAAACACTGAAAGAATTGAAGGGGAAAATGAACACCAGTACAATAATAGTTGGAGACTTCAGTACACAACTTTCTGTATTGGAGAGAACGTCTAGAAAGAAAATCAACAAGAAAACAGAGTACCCAAATGACACTATAAATAAACTAGACTTACGAGACATATATAGAACACTTCACCCAACAATAGCATAATATACATTCTACTCCAGTGCACATGGCTCATTATCCAGGATAGACCACATTAGGTCATAAAGAAAGTCTCGATAAATTTTTAAAAACCATATTAACTGTTTTCTCTGACCTCAGTGAACTGAAACTAGAAATCAAGAGGAAAAAAAAAAAAAGGTACTCAAACATATGGAAATTAAACAACACACTATTAAATTCCCTTGGAAACCCTATGGGGCAGCTCTACTCTGTCCTGTAGGGTTGCTATGTGTCGGAATTGACTCGACAGCCAACAGTTAGGTTTTTTTGGGTATTAAACTACTAACGGGTCAAGGAAGAAATTACAAATTTCTTAGAATCAAAGTAAAA